GTATTTGGTTAACAAGTTTCATATACCCAGAAAATCTGAAGTTTCACCTTCTCTCCACCTGTAAGTTGTATCAAACGAATCTAAGTTAGGAATAAGCTATCACACTCTTATCCACCACCTTATCATACACCTGTACATTAATTGCTAGCGGCTTAGAGAGAAAAATACTAAAAAGACAAAGAATATTTTATAGTAGATATTATTCCAAATGATTCAATCATTTTCCTTATTCATTATAAGCATTTTATTAAACCATTGTTCGCCAATTTCCAGCACTCCAGAGAAATCAATTGGCGTTTTCCTGATCGAGTACCATCTTTATAGCTTGCGAAGTTACCATAGTTCACTAATTTGCAGGATCTTACAGCAAAAAGTTTGGAGAAACATAATTCAGTAGAGTCATTCGATATATGTTTGGGTATCGTATTCGTAATCAGCATATCAACTGGCTCCAGTGTACCTATTTCCTACAATCTAGTGCAAAAAGTGTGCAAAATTATTAAATTGACAGCATTAATTGATATTTCTCTGGCTAAATTGGATTGCGTTACCCACAGTATGCACATATCGAGGATTTCACAGATGCTACTCCTTAATCTTGATCATTAACTCTTTGCCCACCCTTGCCCATCAGGCTGCATATCATCCCTCATTTCCTTCAAATACCTATTCGGCTGCTACTTGAACATGCTTACAAATGACATTAATGACTTACTGTATTTAAAAAAATTGGCCCACTCGATAAAACATTTGGTGATGAACCAATCGTTACCCTGGGGAAGCCCCGTCCTAACCTTCTTTTAGGCTTTATATCTACCTAAATCCAATAAGCGCGCCAACTTTTTGAGAATTTATGCGATTGAAAATCTTACTTTCTGAATGATGAGCACGAATTATTGTTTCAGCAAAGAACAATTTGAAATGTATACTCGATCGTTAAAATTAGACTATCCTACCGAATTTCTTCCCTAAAGTACGCTAAGCGATTGCAGTAATTACTCCATTCGATAATGGTAGGCTGACCAACACGTATTAATTTTCGCACAAGATAGTAAAAGTCCTTCTCATACTTTTTGATCTTGGCTCGGGAGTTATATTTGAGGCATTTTACAAAGCTGCACTTTTTCTGCTGTACTCACTATTAATATATCTTTGCAACTATCTTGTAGATAGCATCCTTATAAGCTTTTATTTCATAGTTATTTCGTTGTTCTTGTTATGTCCAATCTTCCTAACCTACTTGGATTATTGGAGATCTAAAAAATGCACTGTATGCG